TGTTGACTGGATGTCACCGAACACCACACATTCTGGAGTTCAGTAGCATTCTAAAAGTGCTATCCACTAGTTACTTCTACATAACATAAAGTAGTACCTTTCACCTGTGGACAAAGCCAGATCTGACCCTTTATCAACCCAAGTTTGGGGATGATACTGTTATAAAGGATATTTTGGGTCACATTACTGACATTTGAGAAAATGTAGTTGTTTTAAAATCACTGAGAAAGATATTCAGGCAGTTACACTCACTGCAAACATTAAATAACACCACAGTTTTCTTTCTTTTATTAAAAAGGAAGTTTATTGGTCTTTAAATGGCTCAAAATGTAAATAAACAAATCGGGTAGCGGCATCAGCCTAAGACATGTGATGCATCTTTGTCAGTTGGCTTCATAGCACCTCAGTACCCAGGAGAGGAAAGGTCTCAAAGCAAAGTCACAATGTTAGTGGTAAGGACCCCTGGTTAAATAAGACTGCATGAGGATATATAGACTTGATGAACCCCCACTGGGCCAGTTACAAGAGTAAATTTAATTCTGCACATGGTATGGCATATGAAAAATAGGAAATGAAAGATGTACATTGCAAACCCTCAAAGCACAAATATTTAATATGACAAGCCATATGGAATAGCTAAAGAGCTGAGTTCTTAAATACCTATTTCTGTTAACTTTACATTGACACTTGTTACCTGGAATGCCTGAATACATTTTTGACCTTTGAAATTAGAATTGAACAACAAAGAGAAACTTTGTTCCATCAACTGTCCTAATCCTATTCCAAAGAGGAAAGAAAATCTGACAGTGGCATACTTCCCACTGACATTATACTACCAGATAATGTGCTGGAACTCTTCCAGTGGGAATAAATGCCACACAATTGTGGCATCGCACACAGGCCTGATGTTTGCAGTGTATGTGCCAAACACGTTTGCTGCATTACGTTTGGGTCTGATCACTTGATACTAACTTTAGGACACTGGAGCTATGATGTTGTTAATTGTGAACAAAACTTGAGAGACTGACTCCTAATAGCTCCTGTATTGTCGAACTGTTACCTCATGAGTACAAATTTAGAAATGGCAAGCATGAATATTTCCCAAAGTGTCCTAGTGCAAAATGCATTAGAGCACTATGAATGCATTTCCTGCGCTCTGCTAAGGAAATAAAAACTTAACACTTCACTGCTCATTGCTTGAAGAAGGGGATAGATTCCCAGGGACCAGCAGCTTAAAGGAAAAAGGTATTTATTGAAACATAACTGGTGCTGAATCCTTGTACAGTCGAAAATAATTTTACAAGTGTCTGCTGGCCCTTCCTTTTAAACAACCTTATAGTTTAATAAAACCAATCATGGAGCTCTGGAACGTGATTTTCAAGAACCAGAGTATGGCACACATTTAAAATTTGGACAGACTCCTAGCAGACAGTTATCCCTCAAGAGTCTTCTATACAAAAGCTGTACTCTATTGGAAGCGTATATTCTCTCACCAGAACACCAGAACACATGGGATGATAGGCCCATGGAGCCATGGAGGACACACCCAGAATAATGCAACCGAGTATTTATCGGTTTTTAAATTAAGGCATATTCCAAACTTTTTCATGTACACATTTACACCACTTTTCTAACTTAATCACCAGGTAATCAATACAGGCGCACAGATGAATTACTCTCAATTTTACAATATGAAACAACTTTTGCCATCACTTTTTTCTTCTATATTTTGCATAACAATGGCTAAAAACAGTGGTACAGATTAGCTATCATGTTCACAATTGTCATTTTTCAAGGCAGTAGAAGACCATGACATTTTAATAAAAAATTTAAGATTTATAATAAGCCAGAGGAAGTAGACTTTACTCCCACTCCCGACCTCCCATCACACCTCTTCATTTAACAGTTCAAGAGAGACTGCCCTCGAGACACAAGCTCACACATTACATTCAGGACCGTGATAAATGTAGGCAATTATGAAATAGGTTGAACTTTGCTTCTTCATGAAGCCACACTAATTTCTTTTATAAGTAAATTTGACTTTCAGTGCAGTTCCAATTCATGCTTTTAGTGATATATAACAATTTCCAAAATGCTAAAGTGATTTCAGTCAATTGAGCCTTCAATGGCAATGTTTATAAATTATATTTATTAGTATGGTCAAGATAAGAAAGGAGTTTGGGCTCTAATTATAAAATACAGCATCTTTCTCTGATTCTCTTGGCTAAACTTTTCCTCTTCTTTTTTCCATTCTTTTCTTTGCTGTCTTCCATCTTTCTGGCTCGAATTTCCCTCATTAAATCAAAAAATACCTAGAAAAGAGAGACATGTTTAAATTAAACAAGCAGAGGAAATATGAACTACTCAAATTATAGCAGTTAAGATATAGTATGCTAGTTAACTCTCCCCCGCCAAAACAGAGTTCTTGTTTGGGACATACCAGAAAAGCATAACACTAGAATTTGCAACTTCAAGTATTTTGAGAAAACAGGCAAACTGGGCATTTTCTGAATTATACTTTTTGGCTGAAAATGTTCATATAATACAATCAGACCTTTCCAGCCCTATTTTTAGGATTAAAAAAAAAAGTCCTCTAAAATTATTAAAGCTCCAAAGAGAAAAGGTAATGAATTTCGTTTGAGTCATTCTGCTAGCACAGTTATTCAATAATTTGTGTAATCTGTTTAATAAAATTTAGAATCAACACTTGCATAATAATTAAAATAAAATTTCATTAACAAATGTTGGCACGCACACAGGAAGGGCTGGAAACAGCACTCACACTGAACACACAGAGATGAGTGCATGTGATAAATGGATGCATAACTTGTAAGATCTACAGTTTTTCACCATGAAATTTAAAAATTTCATTATTTTATTATTTTAAGATGAAAAACAAACCCTCTTAGAATAAAATAAAACAATGACAAATGCTTTAAGTAAACAATTGGTGTAATAACTGATGTGTCTATTCTACCATGTCACAGCTCTGCAAAGTAGTATACATAGACAGAGGGCTACTTGTGTGTAGAGAACAGGAATACCTATGTGACTGCTTGCACTTGCAAAAAGAGATACTGGAAGAATAAACTGAAAACTACTAATACATTTTATTTTCACGAGGAAGGAATAGAGAGAACAATGAGGTGTCCCTGATTCTATCTTGTCACACAGTTCCTACCTGGGAAACAGAAATGTTTTACATACTAAAATATAATAACTAAAAATTAAAATACAAATAAAAATGAATGAACCTAACTGTAAGGTAAATTGGTGAAGTAATAACATTCAGTAATGTAACAAGGGATTGCCAAAAATTCAAGCTGGATTCAGAGAAGAGTGGCAGGTGGGATTTCATTGCTGATGTCAAAAGGGTGTTGGCTGAAAACAGAAAATACCAGAAAGATGTTTACTTCTGTTTCATTGACTATGCAAAGACAAATGCTTGTGTGGATCATAAAAAAACTATGGGTAACACTGGGAAGAATGAGAATCCTAGAACACTTAATTGTGCTCATGCGAAATCTATGTATAGACCAAGATGCAGTTGCCTGAACAGAACAAGGGAACAAACCAATGTATGGTTTAAAATCAGAAAGGTGTGCATCAGGATTATATCCTTTTCCCAAACCTATTCAATTTGTACACTTTGCAAATCACTTAAGAAGTTGGACTATATGAAGAATGTGGCATCAAGATTGGAGGAAGATTCATCAACAACCTGCATTACACAGATGACTCAATCTTACCTGCAGTAAGAGACAGTGACTTGAAGCACTTAACTGTATTATCTCAATAGCAAAAAATATAAAAAACTCACCACTGGACTCGATAGGCAACATCATAATAAATGGAAAAATGAATTAAGTTGCCAACATTTCATTTTACTTTGATTCACAATCTACACCCATAGAAGCAACAGTCAAGAAATCAAAAGATGTGTTTGCATTGGGAAAATATGCTGTCAAAGACCTACCCGAAGTGTGAAAGAATAATGAGGTCGATGCATACCCATATTTATTGCTGCGCTGTTCATAATAGCAAAGAGATGGAAGCAAGCCGAGTGCCCATCAACAAATGAACGGATAGGGAAGCTGTGATATATTGTGCTATGTTGTTGTTGACTGCCTGTGAGTTGAGCATGACTCACAGCAACCCTATGAACAAAAGGCCCTGAGACAATGGAATACTATACAGCACAGAAAAAGGAACTAATAAAAATTATAAAAAATTAGTGACCCTGGAGGACACTATGCTGAGTGAATATCTCAGTCACAAAAGGACAAATATTGCATAATGCCACTGTTACAGGACTGACATGGAGGTTGGGGGGAAAAGAAGAAAAGAGTGGATAAATAAAGAACACTGAATTTAAATAGATGAGGAAAAGAACTGTCTAAAAGAAACATATAATTAGGTATTATTTGCATGACAATAGTCTAGAATAAGAGGCGCATCACAAAGTGGACTTGGGGGCAGTAGGGAGGGAGGAAATTGTGCAACAATGAAAGAATCTTTTTAAAGAGAAAAACGAACTGGGGGGCAGGGCAAAAATGTGCAACAATGAATGTGCAACAATGAACGAATGGAAATCCAAGTTTTCTGTAAACTTTCATTAAATATCAATAAAATAAAATTTAAAGATAAAAACCAAAACTCTGCAAGCAAACCAATAAAAAAAACCAGAATGCATATGAATGATTTCATGAAACACAATGTATATGAATGAAA